CATAACAGCACGCACTGGCTTCTTCCGACGGATTCCCTTGGGGTGGGCCACATCCGCACTCGCGGATGAGTCATTACTACGGTTAGCAGCAGTAGCAGCGTCGTGAGCGGGAAGAGGTAGGCTTTGAGGTGTCGTCCCAAAATGTCGTGAATGCCTCCAAGCAGCGATAGAACTCGTAGGCGTTTCCCAATCGAGCCTGCTGCTGTCCCTTGAGCGGCGGCAGGCGTCTCACGACGCGATAGGCATCCTGGTTGGAGATGGACAGCTCGCGCTTGCGATCTTGGTAGGTCTGACAGCCCGGAGACTGAACGCCGGTGTTCAGAGGACGCTTGGTCTCATCGTTGCGTTGCCGGGCCTCGTCGGCTGACAGCGCATCCCAGGTGGCAAAGTCGGGGACATAAGCCGGGTCGGGCAGCAAGTCAGCGACAGCCGTGTCGGGAATTACATGAACGCCGAGGGCCTCGAAGATGGAGGGCGCAACCTGGCCGGGGCGATAGACGGTCTGGATGAGGTGGACCAGAGGCTGGGCGGAGGATGCAGGTGGCGAGGGTGGTGATTGCAGCTGAGGCTGGCTGTGAGGTAGGGCGACGGGGGTCGGTGGAGGGATGTCCTTGGGATCGATTTTGGCGTACCGTGGTAGGCTAGCTATACTGGTGTAAGTTTGATGACGCCAACGTGATGGATGGCGGTGCAGAGACTCGTGTCATGGTGGCTCGTCATGGGTATAGTCATGGTCGACTGACAGACACATACAGGCCTCAGACACTGTACAGCAGAATCGGGACAGGGAATGTAGAAGGGCATCAGACACAAAGCCGGAAGGCTGACATGCCGACATGGAGGATGGACCAGGAGGGCAGATCAAGCACGGGAAACACAGAACGCGGTATGAGGAGGCAAGCGTGGGAAGGCGAGAGTGCATGGCAGTGCTTTGGGAATCAAGATGAAGCGTTTCGCTAGGGTCGATGCGTACAGGGATGGAGGAGGGAGGCTTGGGGGGGGGCAGGGGCGTGGTAGCAAAGTCGATTTGAACGGGAAAGAAGAGAGGCAGACAGAGGCAGAGCCACATTCGCAGCCTTACACCCAGACTGAAACTTTGCAGACTCGAAAGCAGAGACTCGAAAGCAGAGACTCGAAAGCAGAGACTCGAAAGCAGAGCATAGGAAGCAGAGCATAGGAAGCAGAGCATAGGAAGCAGAGACTGTGAGGAGACAAGACGCAACCGACGTACCAATGGCGGGAAAGGAGCCGAACATGACGGGGTCTGTTTAGCGGATGCTATGCGATGCCGCGTGGTTGTGATGACTGGGGGAGTTGGACAATGGCGGTCGCAGACGGCTCAGGGATCTCGCTTGCCTCCACGCCTCGTGCTATCAACCAACAGCAGCCCACGGCTATGGCCACCTGAGATGGTGGTGGGCGAGCTGATGAGCCAAAAAGTAAGGTTGTGTGATGTTCGGTCGAAGCGAGGTGGACAAACCGGCGAACGCCTGTGCGCAGCGAGGCTTTCGGTGTGAGGTTGTTGG